GAGTGCGCCTGGCAGGTGATTTGCACACTCTTCCTGGGCTTCCTGCCGTTTATGCAGGCAGCAGGGAGGTTCTGAGAGCGGCTGCTGACGCCAGCATAAAACATTTAGCAGGGCATGATCTGTTCGGTGCCTGGCTTTCGATCACGTTGCTTGGGACTATGCCGTTTCGCGGCGAATGCTGACAGGAGACTTTGTTCCAGTCCACCGGTGCTGTGTGGAGCTCAGGGAGAAACATTTGTCATCATCAATCCCAGCGTCAGCATGGAGCCAACAAAATGATCCACCACTTCAGCCTTCGCGGAAGAAGTCGGCCGAATGCTTCTGGCGGGCAAGACTACCTCATGATATCTCCATACCAGCAGACTTATCTGCAAGAAATGCAACTTGAGTTTCACCAGGTTAAGTTCAAGCAGCTGCAACTCCTCATCTCTGACGTGCTGCAACCCCTTGGAAGGTCCTGGTGTACCTGGCATTTTGTGGCCTGCAGAGCTCTTCGCGGCTCTTGTTCATCATCTGGAACTTCAACGAGGCCTGCTGGGTTCTTACTTGCCCTGATCCAAGACCTTTTCCGAACCGTAAGCCCTGCTCCCAGCCCCGCTACCCAAGCACTACTACTACTACTACTACTACTACTACTGCTACTACTACTACTACTACTACTACTACTACAACGACGACAACAACAACAACTACTACTGCTACCACTACTACCACTACTACCACTACGACTACTAACACTACTACTACTACTACTACTACTACTACTACTACTGCTACCCACACCTCCAACAACTACCGCTACCTCCACCCAAGAGGACTTCCAGGGCGGCTTCCAGATTGCTGCCAAGCGCATCGGAATGCTGGAGAGCTTCCGTGCAGGCGCCGGGGTCGTGTCGACTTTGAGCACGTTAGCAAGGTGAGAACAAGCATTTCCCTGACTGTTGTCAACTCCAGCAGCATGCCTCTTATCAGCATGTTTGCTACCACCATCATGTCAGAACCGGCGGTGTCGCCTTACTCGTCCGAGTCGTCATCTAGATCATCATTGCCATCATCACCATGAGCATCACGGATCATCATCATCATCTCCATGGCATCACGTCATCGCCTTAGTGTTCAAACTGTTTGCCTCGTCTCGCCTCCGCAACCTCCCCATCTCTACAGGATCGTGTTCACCTTCATATCGAGTTGTGTGTTTATCATTTGCATCATCACGATAAGCACAAAGCATCAACTGACCGGGTCGAACGTCGCAACGGCCGTAGGCTGTTTCTGAGCGGTGCGTGTCCTCCATCGGCACTCGCGAAAAGAGCATTTCTTTTCCTCTTGGCTTAGTGAGCAATTCCCACCGTCTTCGTGCGCCGTCTTTGCGCTGGTTAGTTCAGCTGAAAGCCTCCTAGGCAGGGCTCGGCTTAGCCTCCCAGCACGACTTCCATCTTCATGTCGCTGCTCCACAGCAGCTTCTGCTGTAAGACAATATACTATACTATACTAGAATATACTATAACATACAAAACAAATACTTTAATACCCTATAGTATACTAGAATATACTATAATATACTACAACATACGATAATATACGATAATATACTATAATAGTATAATATACTATAATATACTATACTAGTATAATGGCTGCCTCAGGCATTTCTTGGCTCTCGGTCTGGATCTGAGCTCTGGTACCTTCAGACCAAGGGAGCTTTGGGAAGAGGATGCCTCAATAATTGCTTATACTAGTTTGGGGAGTTCTTTATTATGATTGTAGTATAGTGGCTCCCGAAACCCTATGACATGACTTGACTTAGTCAAGTCAGGTATACTATTTTGGGGGTTCCTTATTATAAGTATAGTATAATGGGCCCCGAAACCCTATTCGAATTATTAAGGCCCCTACTTTAAACCCAAAACCCGGAGTCGGTAATTCTCAGGTTACCCTCGCGTACCAGGGCCATGACTGGATCAACAAGCAGGCTGGGAGTAAAGCCTTAGGGTTTAGGGTTAGGGTATAGGGTTTAGGGTTTAGGGTTTAGGGTTTAGGGTTTAGGGCCTTTTTCACATTTGCAGCATCTCTCCGTAGGAAGTTACGAAGCATCGGCAGGCAATGATCGCCATCTCCCTGATCACTCTCCTTTTCCTCTTCAAGGTGCTGTGGGGAATCGGAATAAGCTTCTGACAGCTTTTCGATCCCGGGGTCCCGCCGATCCACCCCATCGCTAAGAGATGTTTTCTCTTCAGGCCGCCTTCTTGTCGTGCGCCCGAAAGGGCGGCTCGAACAGCACAAGTGACCTTTTTAGCTCAGGAAGTTGGAGTTGGTTTAACAGCACAGCAGTGGTGGGTGTTGATCGAAACTTTACAGGGTTTCAGAATCACAGGACGTTTAGTTGAGGAGCAGCAGCAGACAAAAGGAGGAGGACAAGGAGGAGGAGGAGCAGGAATAGCAGAATAGCAGTAGCCGTAGTATGAGTGGCATCCATAGCAGCACTGCTCCCAAGGAGAAGGACTGTATGAGTAGCTAAGCCAGCTAAGCTACGAGGAACAGATGTTTCATGAACATGTGTGAGCATGGCCATTTGTATGATAAGTCAGCAGTCGTCAACAAACAGCAGATACACACATTCATGCATGTTTTGTACTTACAAGCACCGAGACAAGCGTACCAACATGAAATGAAGAGGCACACTGAAACACACTCACGAACGCGTGCACATATTAGATGTACTTACGTATGCACTCATATATGCACGTACGTATGTATGCTGTATGCAGGTTTGAATGAAGGAACGAATGAACGAATAATAAACGTATGTTTGTGGCTACATTTTAGTTTCACAATTGACTGAGGTAGTGTCGAGGAATGACTAGCCAGATAGATAGAAAGAAAGAGAGAAAGATAGGATATTAGCGTTATGGTATGGTATCGTATGACATGACGTGGTATGATATGAACTTGAGATGATACGATACGATACTTATGTCATCTGCCTATACATTGACATGCTGTGTAACAAGTCCTACTTGAAGGATCATCGGACTTAGTAACCTTGTAAGGTTATAAGTCCCCTAATATGGGTTATAAGTATAGTTACCCTACTTACAACCCCACTTATAACTACCCATGAACCCCCAAGTATCCATGTCATTCTGTGCAGTTGCGCAAGGCGCCTCATTGCTACTCGGCCTACGTCCTTCCCAGCTCCAACTTCCTGGAGGCGCCTTCCACCGGCTAAAAGAAAGGGGCCTAAATAGTTACCACAGAAAAGGCCACCACATTTTAAAACAAAATATTACCAAAAATCTTTTGGGTGCTCCTTATTATTATAATTAAAGTAGAATGGACCCCACAGCCCTATTCTAATTATTGAGGCAACTACAGTATGTGGCGCCAGTAGCCGTGGCCTTAGGAGTACTGTCGTGCCACCAAACCTACTGACAATCATCGGAATAGCGGAGACATGCATGCCAACGATGGAGCAAGGAGAAGTACCAGGAGTCGAAATTGTCGCAGTGAAGCAAATGACTCTTCGGAAGCTAAGACGTCTCGGTCGTCTCAACAGCCTGCTTTGGAGTTTGGATGGATTTTGGTGGCTTGCGTTGTCTTGACATTTGGCAACGTAGATGCAGGATTGAAGGCACTGGGCGAGGCCCTGCGCACCGGTATCTTCCAATCGGAGGGAGGATCTCATAGGATACGGTTGATGTTATAAATCCTAGATTACCCATAATAAGGAATATACCATAGTTCCCATAGTTGAGGGTCCTTAAGGTAATGCAGGATTTGTATCATCAACAGTATCACTTCGATAGGCGTGAGCCTGCCCGAGGCGCTACCGTCTCAGAAGACCTACCTGCTGCTCGTGATGTCAGAGATGATGACACTTGGCCTGGGATCAATGGCAACACTTTCCGACCATGTGATTTCTGTCGGTCGGAGTGAAAATGCTGAGGAACTTCTTGGCGATCTATCCATCCATCAATTTTGAACATTGGTCGGAGTCTCAGGCGTTTTGCTCCTGTAGCAGGTGCAGCCTTGCCTGTGCTCGGTGCAGCTCCGCGTTAAGCCCTTCACAAGAACAACGCCCCTGCGACGCAAGGATCATCGTCATCACCAGTATCGTCATCATCATCATCATCAGCACCACCACCACCACCATCATCATCATCATCATCATCATCATCATCATCACCGTCTTAGTCATCGTCGTCATCATGCGTGTCTTGACGAACCGTCTGCTTTGAGTGGAGGATCCCTGCAGGTGGACGTTAAACGGCTGGACACCGGGGGAGATTGCCGGCTTTGCCCTGGCGGTCGCAGTGCTGAGCCCGTTGGTGGTGTCAGGGCCTCGTTTAAAGCTGCGCTTCAAAGCACCGTTGTGCGGAGCATTGCGGAGCTTTCAGTCTCAGGTCGTTCGCCTTCTACGCGCTTCAGAGGTGGCGGCTCACATTTCAGAATTCTCTAGGGTCGTCGCAATTTGCTTCCGCATGTTTGAGGACGACAGATTGTTCAAAATGGCAGTGTTCCTCTCTCAGTGCGTGTGCCAGTCCGTGCGTCCCTCTCTCGCGCTCTCTCGCTCTGTCTCGCTCTATTTCTATTTCTCACTCTCTGCACATGCTAGCCTGCACGCGCTCGATTGGCATGTCATGTTTGTCATCACTGTGACTGCTTTATCACCTTGTCAATGCGTTTCATGCTGTAGATCGGTTTAGCCCGTTTGGCTGCGCGAAGGCAGGCAACCAAAGGGGTTGCTGACGGTTGCGGGCACAACGCCAGTTCAATCTAGTAATACTAATAGTAATAATAATAATAATAGTAATACTAATAGTAGTAATAATAATAGTAATACTAATAGTAATAATAATAGTAATAATAATAGTACTAATGATAGTAGTAATAATAATAGTACTAATCATAGTAATAATCATAGTAATAATAGTAATAATAATAGTAGTAGCATCTGGGGGACTCCTTTCAACACTCCGGCTCAACGCCTCTCCCGCAGGATGGCCGTCTGGGGCCCCTGGGTGACGAGGGCCCGGAGCTCAGTGACGGGCAAAGTGGGTTTAGGGTTTAGGGTTTAGGGTTTAGGGGTTGGAGGATGACAGGTCTTGAGGTCTTGGGTTGACGGCTTCCGGTGATGCTCCGGGAATTTTCGGACGCGACGCCTCTCGCCCGAGTTAAGGACTTCACATGTTGGCTTCCGCCGGGAACGTTGCTGCAAGCTCAGATATGAGAGTTTCAAGTTAGGTGCCGTCAAGTGCTCTACATAAATCCACAGGTCCGAATGCCAAGCTCAGGATTCGCGCCTTGGCCGTCTTTGACCTTGGCTTCCTGTCACGCACTCAGCTTGCGATTTCCTGCTGCTCTGCCAGAAGGCCAGTGACGTGCACAGAAAGTGAACCATATTATACCACCTCATACTGTACTGTATAATTTTAAGTTATACTGTGCTATGTAATATTAAAGTTTTATTGCATGTGGTACTATACAATATTGAAGTTTCAAGAAATACTATACTATATTGCTCTTAAATTTAATTTTTTTGCTACATTGCTACTAGGAATCACCGAAACTCCGTCTTCGTGGCAGCCGTCATTGCCGGACTCTCAGCCATGGCCGCTTTGAGGTTGAGCCTCAATCTGATATTAATGATTAAAGCAGCAGTAATAACAGTAATAATAACAGTAACACTGATAGTAATAATAATAGTAATAATAATAGTAGTAGTAGAAGAAGTATCAGTAATAGTTTCAATAACAATAGTCATAATAATCATAGTAGCAGTCGTAAATAAAACAGTAATAGCAGTAATATTGTCCCCTGTTTAAAGACTCGGTTCCGACTTGCCATGCGCAGGCATCCGTCATCTTGGATGTCGCGCGCAATGCGACGGTGTGGTGTTCGATTTTGGGAATCCTTGGCAACAAGTGGCACGCGCCCCAGCGCAGATGCTTCCTAGCCAGCGCGCACTCGTCTGCTGAAAGGTATGCGCTGAAGGGAGGCTACCTCTGCATGGTTGTGGGAAGCTTGGAAACAGCTATTGTAGTATACTAGAATATACTACCCTAAACCCTAAACCCTAAACCCCACCTCGAGCACAGCTCCGATGGGCGGGCAGCTGCTGGGAGCCCTTTGGGGATGTATTGCAGTTTGGTTATGGTTATTGTGAATGGTTGCATTGTGGGTGTACTGGTATAGCTGCTCACAGCCTCAGCCAAATTGGCATTCGACCTAACTAACCAGGCAGGTGGAAAAGAGGTGACAAACAAAAAAAAACAATACTCAACCTGCTCACCTTTACCATGGATGTAACGGAATTTTCGATAGTGTGCTTTTGAAGTTGGCCTTATTGCGGCCGAACCGTGCAGTTCACCTTTCACTGGTGCTCATGGCTCGTTTGTAGCATCAGCACCAGGCGTATAGTATATTATTGTATATGAACGTATATTATAGTACAGAATGCAGTGGTGGATGAAACCCTTGCGAAAATACAAGCATGATTGTCGACGAGCAGCCTCGCTCTAGACTCAGTGCCGTGGCAAAGAGAGCTCGGCAGCGAAAGTCGGAGAATTGCATGATGGCTTTGGGTTTAGCAGCGGTGCTAGGAGGATGCAGCATGCAGAGTGTGTGCACGCAAAGTCTTGGAAGCAAGTTCCAACCTACACGCAGTTGACAGCGGATCCTTGGCACGGTAGCCTCAGCAGATCGGCCAGTATAACATAAACGAGCATGGTGGAATAGCTTGATTTACTTGAAGATAATTCGGTGTGGTGACAAATGCTATATACTACTAATGTAGAATGCACATCACATAATGCAACCAAACGTATACTAAGGGTACCTGACATATTCAGCTATAATACAGTATCGTATATACTACAAAATTGTATGGTATTCTGTAATAGATTCTGAACTGACGTAATTGGTAACATCATGTTACATAATGCAGCAGAGTATAATACAAGGCATTAACAGAACATTATATCGTAGCATACAAGCAATATCAAACAACGCGAAGTGTTACAATGTAATCAATCAGTTTTACGACTTATATCCTTCAATCCAAGACACTGTCATATAGTGTGAAAGAAAAAGTATACTATGGCGTTCTTACAAGACACCATACAATACAACTGATGTAGAACAGCATAAGACAGCACCAAAACACAACACAGTGTAATTGAGTCCAATATAATATAGCACATGTCAATACAGTACTTGTAGCATACAATATGAAACACTATCATGCAATATACTACAAAAAAATTTGCTGCACGATGCATTATCATGCCATATTATACCACATAGTATTTTTCATACCATATAATATAGTTTTCATATCAGATAAAAACGATTTAGTATAATTTGGTAAAAAACAGTATATGACATGAAGCGAATTAGTGTAAGCGTGATGTAGTACCGTGCAACACAATAACTAACAATATGGTATAACAGTATTACACGATATGGTACAACAGTGCGATTTTTTGCAGGAGCTGACAACATAGAAAACATGCACCATAGTATAATGCAATAACACAGAGAGTTAGGAGAGAATAATGCAAAATAGCTGAATGTACTAAACCCAAACAAGATAGACTACAATATACTATCGTAGCATAGTCTAATATAGCAGAGCATAGTACAATCCAGCTCAACATAGTATAATCGCATAATATAGTGTAATGTAGTATAAACTGGGATACTATAATATAATACGGTATACTTTTCAATGGTATAGTATAGTTAGTATAGTGTCCGATAGAATGAAGTATGATATAATATAGTGCAGTGTAGTACATCATATTTCAACATAGTCCGTAGATTTTCATCAAGTATAGTATAGCATATGCAGGTACAGTATGCTACAATGTCCCATAAGATCGTACGATGTAACACATATAATACGATGTAAGCATCACATACAGAGCAGAACGCAGCACAGCATAATGTGGCATACTATAACCTAGTATGTTATGATACGGTATAAGAAACACAATATCATACAACATCATTTAGTTTCATGTCATGTCAACTCATCTCATCTAGTTTCATATCGCTCCAGCATGTACTATCGCGCCATATCTTGTCAGGCCATATGCTACTACTTTAACATACAGAATCAGGGCTCATGATGCCATAGCTCTCTTCTTAGCTCACCTTCCGCCCTCAGGTCGTGGCCCTCAGTTCAGCGGCTTCCCCCCTGGTAACCAACGAAATCTCCATGCTGGTCACCGGCGTGTGCGGCTCTTGGCGAGAGCGACTCAAGGCTTCTCCACTGTGATACTTCCGATTGAAGGACAGAAACGCATACAAAACACCTGAGCTTGGACTGATAAACGTGATGACCTGAACCGCAGACCCAAAAGCTCTGATGGCCTCGTGAGGTCCTTGCTTCGCTCATCGCACACGCTGCAGAGTACGGCGTCGCGGGGTTCCATGGGCCAGGCAAAAGTCCTCCTTTCTGCATCAGGATCCCGCGGAAAGCTTTCAAACTTCTCGGCTTTGTAATTTCAACATTATCGGGAATACTTCAGGATACTGCATTTTGCGAGTGATTGCTGCCGAAGCTTTGTTACAGGATTTTGGAATCGGGTCTGGTTTCCAGTGCACCGGCACAGGGTAACGCAAATCAACACCTCGCAACCCGAAACATGCTACGACAAACCATTGCACTACTAGTACTTCTTCTTCTACTACTACTACGACGACGACTACTAATACCACAAGACTACTACTACGATACTACTACAATACTCGTACTAACACTCGAAGCCCAAACAGGCCGTGGCCTCTGCTGTGCTCCCGCTGGCTGCTGCAGCGTACGCCTTTCAGCTCTTGGCGATGCCTGGGCCTCAGAATGAAAGAAGTGTCCGAGTCTCGGATTTTGAAGAAGTGTTTTTGTAACGACCTAAGACTGCGCCCATGATTCTGTGGTTGTCGGCGTTGCATCCCGGTTTCAGCCTTGATTTTCGTTCGAAGGCAGCTCTGATTCTGAATGTATGCCCTGGTGTACTATAGTCATGCAACTTTGCGTCATATGGTTGGCCCCAACATTACGCTCCATCGGGTGTCCCAGGTGCATGCATGATTAGGCGAAGCGAATGAGCTGCAACGTTGCTTCGGTGATGTCTTCGCTGCTCCAGTCTGTCTTATATGAACATGCTGCATTCACATTCAGAATTTTGCGACGTTCTTCCGCTTGGGAATGAAGCAGGAGCCTTCGTCTTCAGGCTTTCGCAGATGTGTACGAGGGTCATGTGCTACGTAGCTCCTCGAGGACTCTGTGTTGGCTGGCGAGGGTGGCGCTGGGATGATGATTGTGAGGCGATGGTGATTGTGATGAGGGACTGCTACCACTACCGACCGCTACTACCATCTACTTCTACTGCTGCTGCTGCTGCTACTACTACTACTACTACTACTACTAATACTACTACGGCGACGACGACGTCGACTCGCTTATAAACAACAGGCATGATAATCAGAATCATAATAGTAGTACGGCAACTACTGCGAGGAGTAGCACTAACCTTCTGTCTGTCGCTTCTACAAATCGGTGTTGTCTGCTGCCGGCAGTTTCCAAGGCGTTACTTCAACGCAGACACGGTGAGCTACAAGGGGCCTTGCCGGCACGGAGTACAGAGCCATTCCAGAGACGTGTGATCCAGCGCTGTCGTTAGACTGTATCAGACCCATCAGCACCATCGTCCGACCCATCGTTACTTCAGACCACAGCAACTTTTCAGCGAGGAGGCATTCCGTTGCTCAACGATAAATTTCCACTGACGAAACACCAACACCCTAGCAGGATCCTGTATTTTCCCTTGATGCGTCCACGAAAGCCTGTGCAACAATGTCTTCGATGCTCAGACAAATGCAGCAAGTCCATAAATGCGGCCGTTGTCTACCTGGGAGTTTCCAAAAATTAGGGTACCTTATTTTGGGGTCCTTATAATATGGATCCTATGATTTAGGGTACTATATTAGGGTCCCCTATTTTCGGAAACCCCCATAACTGAATCGTTTTTGTGGTTTGTGGGAACAGCATGAGTTAGCAGGGCCTGGTGGATGAAGACCGCGCGAAAGAGGAATCAAAGAAGGTCGGTACGCAACGCAGGATTTGCCTCTGCATCAGAAGGATGCCGGGGCGAAGTCGTATGGAGGAAGGGCACATCAAACGGAGCAGAGAGGGCGGAACAAGTTCAGGAGAAAAAGCAGGCACTGGACAATAGCCCCGCCATTCGTGACTCAGCCATACTGGTCTTGAAGCTCAGTGATTCTGCGTAGGTCATCTCGGTGCACGAACATGTCCCCATTGAAATTGCGGTTATGTAGCGCGAGCTTCGTAGAGTGGAAGTCGCGGAACACGCTCTCGTTTTCCCGGAACAGGCTTCGAGGAGTTTTCCTTTGTTCGAGGGCCTTCCTCGTAAGCCGGGAGGCTGTATGCAAGCCACCCAAGAAACTGTATCAAAATGGTCCAGCCAATTTCCGGTTCTGCTAGTCTTCATTACTTCATTCCAGCCTACTTGTCTGACTGTTGCCCGAATCACGGCTCACAGAAGCCACCAAGCCGTCACATCCTGACAAAAGCCCGTTCCGAGTTGGCTGCCAGGCACGGATCACGACAGGCAGACGGGAATGAGTTCGGCACGGAGGTGTCTTCTGTGCGGCTTGTCGTGAAAGACATGAAGAGGCCCGGCTTCTTTGGAGCGCTACAGATTCAGACAGGGTGGCAGACCATTCTGCCTCCAGGAAGCGCAGAGAGAAGGTGAGGCAACTCCTGAACAACAACAGCCAAAGCAGCTGGCTCAGAGTCTGAGGCGGATGCGGCCCACGGGTCATTTTCTGCCAAGTAGCACAAACCGCAGATGCCTGCCTCCGCTGCTCCTGAGGTTTCGATGTTGGCACGCAGCGCGCGTGGTTTTCGAACATCTTGTGAGCACCTGAGTCCCGAGGGTTTTCTTCGTTCGAGGGATGTCCTTGCGCTTGTGGTGCTCTTGTTCCACATGCCGTGTGACCAAGTTTCAGTCCAACCTCACCAGTGAGCCCGGGTCAGCCAGTCCCCCAGTGAGAGGGAGGGAGCATGGTTCGAGGAGGCATCAGGATCAGATATGACATGTGATGCCTTAAGAGGGTCCCAAACCCGAAAACCCCAAAACGTATACCCTAAACCTAAACCCTAAACCCTAAACCCTAAACCCTAAAAAAACCCAAAACCCCAAACCCTAACAGTGCCATGCAGCTTGACCGTGGCTTCGTCGCCTGCGCTTCGCAGGTCGAATCCGCAGTTCGAGCTCCCCTCCAACTTGAACCCTGCAGTGGCGGACCGGGAGCTGTAATACCTTTAGGGTTTAGGGTTTAGGGTTTAGGGTTTAGGGTGCTGATACAGCGTAAATACTAGCAGTAATCGTAATAATCATAGTATTATTCTTAGTAATACTAATAAATGAGGGATAATGTAGGGGCCTAAATAGTTACCAATACTATGTTGGGGGTTCCTTCTTATTATTATAGTACAAAGGCCCCCCAAAACCCTGTTCTAATGTTAGGAAAGCGACTACCTAACCGGGTCTTGCTACCAATGTGCGGACCTGGGATTCTTGCCGGGTCTCCAAAAGAGAAACTTGATTCAACCGGAAACGTGCCTGACAAAAGCGCCGGTACACTGGAAGGGCAGCGACCAAACATTTTTGCCTTTAGACGGCCTCCCTTTTGCACAGCAGGCAGTGGGTTTGTGAATCTGACAGTTCAGAATTCAGAAGCCTAAGTCTGCACTTCACACCTGTGTGATGCTTGCTGCTTGCTCTTGCACTACAGCAAGCAGAGCCTGGCCTACAGTCTTCAAGCAGAGGCCAGTTCCCTAGTGGCCTAGTGCTCAGACCCACTGCACGTAGATCGCAGGATGAACGGCCGGCGGCTGTGGTGGAGTATAGCGAGTCCTGGGGAAAAGTTCTGGAGGGCTACATGGAGGGCAAGAGCATCGAGGAGCGACGGAAGTTTCGGAAGTCCGGGTGCGTGACAGCTTACGTAGCTGTAGGACGTAAATAGGACTGGCAGTGCATGGATTGGACTTGCCTGAACCCTCAACCTCTACACCCTAAACACTAAACCCCTAAACCATTAACTATGCTCTGCAATGATTTGGCCGAGCTAGGAGTACGTCATCGTGGACTGCCACAACAAAGTGGTGCCACTTTTCCAGACCTCCGTGACCCCTCCGAAAGAGGATTTTCCATTGAGGGTGATGCGCAAGGCTGGGGCACTACATGATTACTTTATGTACTACAATTTCGACTATAACATATGATAATGTGCCACAATGTAATGTAATGTAATTTAATTTAGTGTAATGTAATGTAATGTAATGTAATGTAATGTAATGTAATGTAATGTAATGTAATGTAATGTAATGTAATGTCTATTTACAAGGAAATGCACGGGCTCGGGCTCGGCGGACTTTCCAAGTATCCAACTTCGAACACCTGGGGGTGGAGGGGGCAGCCCAGAGCTCCTTGAGACCCTGCTAGGTACTGCATTTTTTAGGGCCGCGGCGAATGATCAATATCGTTCCTTCGACGTCCTTTTTGGGAACATTTGACTTATATGTTTGTTGCATGGGACATCGCCGTAGGTTATCGTATACTCTAGTACACCACATCAGGTAAAGCTCAAGGCTAGAGCTCTCGCAGGGACGTGGCCACGCGCCGCGCACGCTTCGCCGGGCACCGCTTCCTCGTCTTCTAGGCTTTTGGGGAGGGCCGTGTGTTGGGGGGGTTAGGGCTAGAGTGAGGGTTTAGGGGTTCAGGGTTTTTTGGGTTCGGGGTGTGAGCATAGGAGTTTAGGGTTTGGTGGAATGCTCCGAAGAAGTCATGATGTGTTGGTCCATTTCCAGAATTTGCAGGTTCTCGCGACGAAGTTCGGGATGGTTCGAGAAATTAGAGTTTCAGGACATGTGATAGCTGCGATCTGTTTGGGTCACCCCTGGAAGCCTAGAGTCTGAAGCCGCGCACTTGTGTTCAGGCCTGGGACGTGGCGAGGAGGCCAGCTGTGACTTGTAGCATTCCCTAGCCCCCAAACCCTACACCTTAAAAACAAACAGCTGTTACCTGTAGCATTCCAGTCGAGAAGAGCCTTCGGTACACTGCAGTGACAAGGGGACTCTCCTCTCTAAATTAGGGTCCCTTTTAGGTCCCCGCAAAAATAGTACGCCACTCTTCCAAAGAGGGTCGTCAAAAAAGACCCTAGTTTTGAAAACTATTGTCTGGCAGCCATGAGTTCAAGCCCTAAACCCTGAACCCTAAGCAATAAACCCTAGACCCCTAAACCCTAAACCCTAAACCCCTAACCCCCTAAACCCCTAAACCCTAAACCCCTAACCCTGGCTTTCGGTGCCCAGGACTTTGATTCAGAGGTCTTGGAGCCGGACCCTGAGCACATGGCGGGCTATGTGTTTAGGGTTTTAGGGTGTAGGGCTTTTTAGAGTTTGGGGTTTTAGGGTTTGTAGAGTTTGGGGTTTTTGGAGTTTTCGGGTCTAGGGTTTTTAGAGTTTAGGGCTTTTAAGGTTTATAGAGTTTAGGGTTTGTTTAGGTTTAGGGTCCAGGGTTTGTAGTGTTTAGAGTTTTTAGAGTTTTTAGAGTTTCAGGGTTTAGGGTTTAGAGTTGTAGGGCTTAGTGGGCTAGAATCTCCGATGGCCACAGGTAGGAGGACTGCCTGAATGCTTCGTGGCAGCTGTTGTCAGCTGGCTCCCTTTCGCCGTTCGTCGGGTGGTGCCAATACAAAACTCCCATGTGCTTCTGCCCTTAAAAGCAGCATGCGTCCTAGCTTCTGGCTGAGTTGCAACAGACTCCGTGCCAATTTCTTCGTCAAAATAACTGCCACGAGATATTACACCCCTATTGCCATGGCTCCATCGCGCACTTCGAGACGCCGCTGCATCCGTCTGCTGACAGGCACGGGGCAGGGAGTTGTCAGACAATATTGCTCGCTTCTTGATCTTGGGAATAGGTACAGCACTGGCGCTGCTGGCGCTGAGAGCACTGAGCTTCGTGGCCCCCCGAGGCACGAGGGGTCAGCATGTCAGTGCTAGCTAGAGAGAGACGCAGCTACCGCAATTTGTGGTGCACATAAAAAGGGCTCGGCTGGGCTTTCGTATTCTACGACAGATGGTGGACCGTGGCATGAGCTCTTGCTTTAGAAGACCCTCCAGATGCGGTAAGGTACAGCTGGATTCACGAGAGTGATGATCTGAATTGAATTGCAAGAGCCATTGTAGAACATGTGCAGGCCCTTATCAATCAATGCGCCCCGACTGAAAAGCTCTATTGGCAAGCTCACACTCCTTTTTTATCCCAGGCCTGTCAGCCCGGAGCCGTAGTCGTCCTCCACATTCAATTCCAAGACTCCGCGGCCCCTCCCTTTCCAAGAATCTGGCGTGCCCGTGACCCTGACACGGCGCCACGCCGTGGAGACGGCAGAGCTGGCAAAGGAGGAGGCATCCAATGGGTCATGATTGAGAGTCGATTCACCTAGACACTAGACCCATCGTCGTATCCAGATGGAATCCCAGCGATCTGGTTCGTCGCAACGACGACGATGAGAGTAGACTGCTGCTGCTGCTGCTGCCGCTGCTGCTGCCGCTTCTCCTGCTGCTACTTGCTGCTGCTCCTACGCCTGATACTGCCTGTTACTGATATGACAGGAAGTGCTACTCTGTCTTCACGATCATGATCATTTTCAACATCTTTTTGCGGTGCGCTTGTTCTCTTCGTTACCGTCACCATCAGCAGTATCATCACCGCCATAGCCACCGCCACTATCCCCAGTTTCAGTCGCCAACCTCAGTGCTGCTACCGGTGTCTGGGGTGGCCGACAGGTTCCAGACGCCCCTGCTCCTGTAAGGCCGCTTTTTTGACAGGACCAAGGTCAGTAGTAGCAGCATTAGGGTTTAGGGTTTAGGGTTTAGGGTTTAGGGTTTAGGGTTTAGGGTTAGTAGCAGCGTAATTTCCAGGTGTTCGGAAGATCTCAGACCCGATTCGAAAGTGCAGAAGCTCAGAGAGGCTGCGGCGGCCGCACACGGAACCAGACCCCTCCTTCACGAACACCCCAAGCCAAATGCTGTGCAAGACCTATGGAACCGTGCTTCGCGCATCACAAGGTCTTCCCTAGCAGGAATGCTTTGCACGAACGTTTGTGGAACAAAGACAGCAGCGTTGCTTTTGGAAGCGTCATGGGGAGGGCTGTTTGGGATTTACAGCTTTGTAATATGCGTTGAGGAACTCTGTCCTTAGCCAACCTAAGTTGGCCACCCCCCAAGCTGGCAGCTTTCCTTGAGTCAGTGGGGTGATCATCCGTTGAGCCGTGATCGAGACACTAGTAGAAGTCAATACATCATTGCAGTCTTACACGCAGGGGCCCGTGGACGACGGCCGCGTCCTGGATGGCTCTGGAATCGTCGGGTCCGTTGGGGCATTGGTTCTGGCCGTTGCGCTGCTCCCCTATGTAGCAACCTGACTGAAACACAAGCCGTAAACCTGCACCCATCGGAAATAGGCCCTCAACGTAAAAACCCTAAACCCTAAACCCTAAGCCCTAAACTTGCACTTGCTGATCCTGTGACCGATTTGTCCGAGGCCCTCAGCCTCTACAGTGCTGTTCAACTGGCAACGCAGGGCCAGGCAACTTGCAGCCGATACTGTAGGAGTCGGAATTTGCAGGGCTTAGAGTTTAGGGTCCTCCTACAAATGTAGCATAATGGGTCGGAGTAGCTAGCAACACTATCCACCTATCGTCCGAATCAATGATGCTACAATGCAGCCCCCAAAAGAGCTGTATCGAGTTACAAAGGCCCCTAGATGAGCTTGGAAGCACGCAGCATGTCAACTGGGTTGCTGTTCAGGAACTTAGTTTGAGTCAACAGAACGGGGATATATAATAAATAACAGGGTTTCCTCGTTGCAGAAACTTAGTTTAAGTTCCCTAACAGCAACCCAGTCAATGGTTGAAGTTGGATCTCGTCGGTTGCTCCTTCCCTCTTCTTTCCGATTTGTTCTGGCGCTCTCGAAGTGTTGGCTGATCGCAGATGGAGCCCAAGTCCTGTTCCTAACTATTCGATGTAGGGTTGAGGGTTTAGGGCCCTAAGCCCTGAACCCTGACGAATCTCCGACCGAACCCTAAACCCTAAACCCTGAACCTGACCCCCAGCCTGCCGGGGCACCGAGGTCTAGGCTCCGCGAGCCTTTATCAGAGCATCTTCGCAAGGGTCGCAGGGTGTTGTGTTTCGACACGAGTGCGGTGTAATGTCAAAGTCATCACCGAACTCTTGAGAAAGTCCAGGGCAAGCCACCATCACAGTGTGGAATTTAGCAACATCTGTCACACGCGTAATTACTGGGTTCAGGCCTTCGCGCCCATCCTTCTCAACGGGAACCTCGGTCCAACCGGTGTCCTGGGTCTTGGAGAAGGTGGAGATTCGAACAATACCCAGAACGGGGTCTTGTCGAAAGGTTCGTGCTTCCAGAAAAAAACACTCTCGGCAGCAAACGGCATAAACAGAGTGACGGACTTGTTTTGAGGGTTCTGCCCTTCTCTGTGGTTCAATATTAGCGTGTTCAACGAATCGTTGCGCACGGCATGCTTCAGTTTTTAGGAAACGGGCTTGCTGGGGGTCTTGTGTTCGAGACCTAGAGAAGTTCAAGCACTCCTAGATGTAGACCTCGTTTATGAAGCTCAGCCCCACATCCGAGTGGTCATCGTTGCTGTTACCATCATTAGATGAGCTATGACAGCTATGAGTTATCATTACCGTTCTGGTTACTGTTGTGGCTGGATGATTGTCATGCTAATGCTAGCAACGGTTTTTCTTGCAAAGTATAGTCACAACAGCCGAGTCCGCCCCGCCGGCATCCCGAAACGGGCTCTCAGCAGGTGTCGGCGTGGTCGTCGTTTTTGGCGTGTCGCTTTGGTCTTTCCTTTCACTGCTGACCCGCGCCATGTCAGCAGACTTGGGCTTGCACATTTCTTGTAGCGGGTGGGCGGTGGTGGGGGAGTCTAGCATTGATCGGGGATATCGAATTAGGATACTGCCAGGATTTGCAAGGGGTTCTGCTGTAGTGCACTTAGCCGGTCAGCTTGCGCCAAACCCAAAACCTGAATCCGAAGCTTTAAGCCCTGAGCCCTGTACCCTGACCCCGCTAGAAACCCAAACCCCGAAAACCCGAAACCCAAATCCCGAAATTCTAGGACTCGAAGCCTCAAGCCCCAAAGTCTAAACCCCAAACTTTGAACAAAAAACCCGAAATTCCAGGACTC